TTTTTTAGTCGAATCGAGTTTAAGAAATTTGAATCGAGTTATTCGAGTTTTTGTGCTAATTTTATTATAATTATTTATAGTATTATGGTAATTAAGGATTGATTTCAATTTTTTGACTTTCTCTAACCATATAAAAATATATATGTTTCATGTTCTTTTCAAATTATAATGTTATTTAATATATCAAATACAATCTAAAATTATATAATATATTCATAATATTATATATTTTTTATTTTGAGAGTAAAATATTGATGAGTGTATAAAAGAGACAATGAATTGATGGAAAGAAAGAATTTGCAAACAATTGCAATCAAAAGATAAAATTAAAATGCAATGTTAAGGGTCTAAATAAAAAAGAGTATATTTTTAGTTAAAAAATAAGAATTGAAGTTACATAGGTATTCTATAGTGGTATATAAGCATTTCAAATTTGATTAAAAAAACTTAAAATAGAGGAAGAATTGAAGAAATAAGTAAATTATGAAAAATTGAAGGACTAAATTGAAAAAATGAGTTATCAAAAAGAGGAATTGAAAGTACATATGTATTCTATGATGACTTAGGAGCATGTGGTTCAAATTTGGTTAAAAATAGACTTAAAATGGAGGAGGAATAGAAGGAGCGGTGAAATCAGTGATTAAATCGTAAAACTGTCAAAATATATAGTCAAGATTTTTGTTTTTCGAGTAACTCGAAATTTCAACTCGACTCGATCTCAAAAATCGGATTGATAATTCGAGTTAACTTGAATAATTCAAAATCAAAAACAATTAATTTTTCCAGTTGAGTCGAGTTTTGCTCACCCTTATACACGGTTACAGTCGAGTTAAAAATAACCATCTCATGTCATTACTTGGTATTTCAAAACTTCTAATTGTAATTGTGCTTAAATTGGTTTAAGATTTTACTCGCAAAGTTAAGATAAACCAATTAAGATTGAAAAAAAAACTATTGTTGCATCAAAGCTTATGGTCATCATACCATCGAGGAAGAGAAGAGAGGCGAGCAGCAAATTCACAGTGAAAGCTCCCGATAAGAGCACAACCTTTCGCCTAGACGAGGCTAGTCTAGAGTGGAAGCTATCCGGATAAAGTGCTGACCACGGAGTTCCTACGCTTAACCAGATTAATAGGATAATTATATATGCATTAATTATCTCTAAATAAATTAAAATAACTTAGAGATAACATCAAATTTGGCTATTCAATTTTTTAAAGATTTTTAATCAAAATTTTAAAGATTAATGGGTCATCCAATAAAATTTTAATTATATGATATCTTTTATTTAGTCTTTCGAATATGAAAAATTATAAAATACTGATCAAATTAATCCTTTTTTATGTAAGATAATATGATAATTAATATAATGATATATTCACCCACAAGCTGGTGCATGGAAGGATCCACCATGGGGCTTGGAGTTTTTTGTTATTATTTTAAATCTGAGGCTTTTCCTGAATCATCTTGTGAAATTCGAGCCCCAATGAAACCAAAAAGCTTATGATCATTTGATACCTGCGGGTTTGACATGTTCTTTTTTTCCCATCAATTTAAAATTTAATCTTAATCATGTATAAAGGAGAAGAGAAAAGAGACTACAGAAGAAAGAAAACAAATGTTTTAATCAGGGATAGAATTCATGATCTACGAAAATATAATAAAATAATTAAAGTTAAATTAAAATCTTTAAATATATTGGTTTTAAGTAATTAAAATATACAAAATAACTAAGGTTAATTTAAAAAAGTTTGGTAATATTTTTATTGAGACAATAAAATTATCTAAGACTAATTTTTAAGTTAAATTATATTAGTGACCACCTAATTATTATCCCTTTTTTATTTTGACCATCATTTTTAAATTTTGTCAATTAGGTCACTCAAGTACTATTTAAATGCAATCAATAAAATCACTTGCCGTTAATATTTAACAGAAAAGCTGGTGTGACAGTTAAAATATTTGGTATAATTACACATTTAATCAATGTTATTTATATATTCTATCAATTTAGTCCTAATTTTAATAAATTAAAATAAGTTTAACCCTCAAATATGCCAAGGTAGTTAATTGAATAGGAGTCCAATTTAATGCCAGCCAGTACAATTTTTATTTTCTCTTTATCGACTTTTATTATTTCTAATAATAAAATAAAATAAACATGCTAATGTTTTGTGACGAGAAGTCTCCATCTTCTTCTTTCTTTAGCTTAAAATGTTATATTTTACATTGATACACGTAAGAAATTCATGTGTTTAAATTATATCTTTCAATGATTTTAGGAGTTTAAATTAGATGCTTTATTTTATTTTGTAATTACTTTTAGATCATTTGTTTAAAAATATTTATTTTTTATTACTCAGCTATCCAAGTATTATAACTTTACTTTTATCTAATTCGTCGCATTGTAAGTAAAATCTAATTGTTTTGGATTAATTTTTAAGAGTTTAATTTTTTGTTTTACTTAACATAGATGTATTTTTAAAATTAAAGCGTTTGATATTTATTTATTTAGTTTTCATTTTTTTTGTAAGTTTCCTTTTCTTTTCTTTCTTTATTTTTTCCTACAAATTGAAAGAATAAGATGAATAAAGACTATTTTGACACCATTTGATTTAAGGGTTAAATTTATTTTAATTTACTAAAATTAGGACTAGTTTGATAGAATATATAAGTAACATAGACAAACTGTAATAATATCAAATATTTTAACTACCACGACAACTTTTCCATTAAATATTAACGATAAATGGCTTAATTGAATGCATTTAAATAGTTGAGTGACCTAATTGATATAATTTCAAAAATAGTGATAAATAAAAAGGGGCAATAATTAGGTAGTTATGGGTATAGTTTACCTTTTATTTTAAATAATTTACCTTTAAATTTTCAACTAATTTATAATTATATGTTGAGCCCTTTAGAATTTTAAATTTTTAACTTAAATTAATGATGCTCATCGTTATAGAATTTTTCTTTTTATTATATAAATTTTCAGATAAATACTTATTATATTTCTTAAATTTGAAAAAACATTAAGACCCCAAAAATAATATGATTTTTTATTTAATTTTTTAATTTTTTAAAGAGACTTTGGAAAAAATCTAAAATAAACTCGAAAAATTTTCAAGTTCAAACCGAGTTGTAAAATGCAACTTGAATAACTCGAATTTTTCAATAATTAGTTGATTGATTTTCAAGCTTGAGTTGAGTCCCTAGAGTATGTATCATAAATGTATATCACATATGAAAAAAATACACATGTATTGTATATGATTATAAAAAATCATTTAAATTGAAATCAAATAATATCATTATATTATAAAAAATTATAATTAAATTTAAACATAAACTAAATAATTTGAATCGACTAGAAAAAAATTCAAGTCAACTTCGAGTTGTAAAATAGGACTCGTCAACTTGAATAACTCGAAATTTTTTGAATCGACTCGCTCGAACGCTCACCCTAACTAAAAACAACTGGACGTTAACACAATGACTAATATATGATAGTCTTTGAGATTTTAGGATCATATTTTATCATACCTCGGTCAATGACTTAATGTTAAACTCAGAATAATGTCAGTTTTTTAACTGAAAAGAAAGAGTTTGGAATATAATAAATATTCAGATTATCATTTTGTAACTTTTAATAGTTGAGGAACTCAACAAAGAAATACTCTATAATCAAATGATTATTTTATAACTTTTAATAATCGAAAAACTTAATAAAGTAATAGCCTATAGTTAGAGACTATTTGTATATTCCACCCTAACTTTTCTAAAATTAAATTTTAATAATAAAATTGATATTAAACTTAAAATTCAACGATATGCCGTATAATGCAACCCTTACTCTCTCTTTTTTTTTTCTTTTTTTTTTCAATTGCCTTTTATTCTACTTTAGTGGCCTCGTATCGAAATAGACAGGTATACGTTCAAAGCCATATGTCTGTCGAAACTTGGCGATGCCTTATCCACACACCCCACTTCCACTTTTTAACACAATCTTGAGCTTGTAAGAACATTAAAAAAAATTACACAACCTCAAAGGAAAACAATTCCCAGAAATTAGATAAACAAAAGGAGGGAAAAAAAACAGTAATACTAACATGTCTATCACTACCTCGATTACATGTCTGAAAATCCCAAACCCTTGTTCTCCTCCATCTTCTTCTTTGCCATCATCTTCCACCAGCTGCAGATTGTCTCCATCACCCAAGCCTTATGTTGTGACTATAAGGAGTTCTCAAACTGAAGGTCCTTTGAGAAGACCCGTGGCTCCTTTGAAACCGGTGCCCCCTTCTTCTCCTCCACCACCGCAACCGGCACCTCCTCCTCCTTCCTCTCCTCCTCCGCCTTCAGTGTCGGCTGTTGGGGAGCAGAATGTGATCACTCTGGAGTTTCAGAGACAGACTGCAAGCACACTTCAAGAAGAAGTTCGAGGAATCTAGTCAAGGGCCTTTCTTTGGGTTCATTGGGAAGAATGGGATTGCTAATGGAAGGTAAATGGATTAATAAATAAGCCCCCTTTTTACACGTTGTTGCTAAGGTTGCAGGCACTTGTATTATTAGTTGTAAAATGACATGCAAATGGTGGCTATTGATTTGGTGTAGATGGGCAATGTTTGGTTTTGCTGTTGGGGTGTTAACGGAGTATGCAACGGGCTCGGATCTTGTGGATCAAGTAAAGATCATGCTCTCCAATTTCGGTTTAATCGATTTGGAACGACTCTTTTGTATTCATATACTCTGTGATTTCTGTAGGTTATCCAATGTTTGTTAGCAAGTTGTTTACTTGCTTCATCAATCAATTATAACAAGCCGTATCTCATGTTCTTCATTCTCATTTTTCTGGATATATCAAGCATACGCTTTCATCTCATTACTCATAAATAGGCCATTAGATTGGGAAACATTTTCGATTTTTGATTGTTTCCAATTCATTATTGATTAATGAATGAATGAATGATCGACAACAAACAAGATTAATCCCTGTATCAAATAAAAGAGAGGGGCACTTGTTTATTCAAAAATCTCCACTCATCATTTGTGTAAATGATGATAAGATATTTACATAATTCAAATGATCTTACCCCCATTCAAGATATGGTCATTTAGTACAACAATCTTATAAAAGAAGAAGAAGAAGAAGAATTACCATCCATCTATCATCATGTGGGAATTTGATTCAAAAGCTCAACAACCTCTTTCATGGCGGGCCTTTCTTTAGACCCCTCGCTACTACACATACAAGCGATTCGAAAATACTCCTTAACTTCCGCTTCAATTAACCCATCCCTGTGGATCTTTTCATATACCATTTCTATTTCTCGGTTTAGACCCACCATTTGCCGAGCCCACTCCACTAGTCCCATTGCTTTCCCTTCCAACTTCACCGGCCAACTGGGCCGGTTTTGGGTGGCGATCTCGATCATCAATATCCCGAAGCTATAAACATCAGCTAGAACAGTCGCCGCCGTGTTCCCCTCACGGTACTCGGGCGGCATGTAACCCATCGTTCCGGCGACCTGAGTGGAAACGTGTGAGCGGGACTCTTGGATTTGCCGAGCTAAACCGAAATCAGAAATATGGGCATTGAAATTTTGATCTAACAAGACATTGCTGGCCTTAATATCTCTATGGATGATGGGCGTATCGAGTCCGTGCAAATAAGCCAGCCCATTAGCTATCCCACGAACTATCTTCTTCCTCGTATGCCAGTGAAGTAACCCGTCGGCGCAGTTTTCTTGACCTTCGTCGTACATCAATTGGTCGAGACTCCCTCTCTCGATGAACTCATAAATCAAAACCCGATCGATACCCGACGAGCAAAACCCGAGGATCTTAACGATGTTGTCGTGACGAAGCTTACCTAGTGTTTCCATCTCAGCCCGGAACTCTCGAAGGCCCTGAAAGGCATCGGGGTTGAGCTTTTTAATCGCTACGGTGACTCCGTTGGAGAGGGTAGCTTTGTAGACGTAGCCGAAGCTGCCCTCGCCGATGATGAGATCGGAGGAGAAGTTTTTGGTGGCGGCGGCGAGTTCCTCCATGTCGAGATGGGTGAGGGAGGGGTCGAAGGCGGCGCTGTCGCATGCGGTGAGGGCGGCGGGGTTAGGGGTGGTGGGTGGGGTTGGGTATAAGGAGCGGGTTTGAGGGCGGCTGGGTTTTTTGGTTGAACTGCAAATTAGGATGATGCAAATTAAGAGTGAAGATATAAAAAAGAAGCTTAAAATTGCCGAAACAACCGGGATAACAACATGATCCATTGAGCCAAAAGAGAAACCCAAAATTCAAATGAAAAAAATTATAGATCAAAAGAAGAAGAAGGGCCGGAGGAGAAAGCAAATAGAAAAGTGGTAAAGGTCGACGGTAGCAGAGTCGTGGAAAGGACGAGTCAACGGAGGAGAAGGGATACGTTGTGGGTGATTTTAGTCTTAGCAGATTAAAATCTCTGGACCCTTTTTCTTCAGTTTTCTTTGGCCTCGTCGATTGTCTTCTACTACAACCATTGCTGTTACCATCGAGGCTTAAAGCCTTACTTAACCTTTAAAAGTACTATTTTTTCTAGTTCAACCCGAGACTCAAATCTTGATTTGACTAGACTTTGATTGGATTTTCTTTCTTAGAAAATTGAGTTTAATTATTACTCCTACATTATTTTATGTAGTTTGTCAATATTTTCTGTTTTTTTTTTTAATTTATAATATTCTTATAAAAACAATTTATTTATTTTTTAAATAGTAGACTTAAGGAGAAATCGCATCAATTCATTACTTGATTTTTTTATTATTCAGTTTATAAAAATTTAATATCAATTACAACTCAAAAGTTCAAATTACTTATTCAAGTTTATTTAAAAAATTAATTTAATTATCTTAAAATTCAATTTTTTCTGTTTTTTCCAACATAATCGTGTTAGGCGCTTTTTTTGATATATCACCGGTGATCGGTAATATTATCAATCTAACACCGGTCAGATTATATTTCTCGATCTAACACCCTTAGCAATAAAGCGCGCCCCTACACCGCGCTATACGGTGAGCTAACGCCACTTGGGTATAGCGCGGCTCCTACAGCGCGCTATACCTGTATATCTGACACGTGGGGTATAGCGCGGTGCAGGGGGCGCGCTATACCCCTAACTATCAACCCCTCCTCCCTATAAATACCCCTATTCTCAATCAATTTTATCACACCAAATTCTCTCAAATTTCTCTAAATTTCTCTCAAATACTCTCTTTTTAAGGTATATTTTATAATATTTTTACTATTATATTTTTACTTTATTTAATATTTTGCTAATATAATTCTTTTGCAGATATATAATGGAAGGCATATCTACTTCGCTCGGATGGAAATCATATATCTCTACACTTTGCTGATACGGTAACATTTTAACGTTTTAATTTAATTTAGATTATTAGTAATATTTAGTTATTTATTTAATGCATGATTATTATATTAATAATTAAATATCTCGACACTTTGCTGATACGGTAACATTTTAACGTTTTAACTTAATTTAAATTATTATTAATAATTAGTTGATTCATTTAATGCATGATTATTAGATTAAGAATTAATTTTTGTAATTATTTATTTTTAGAAAAAGGACCGCGTATTAGATCATTTTATTAGGAATCTTAAGTTAGTGATACCAGTCGTGTCTTGCCGTATTTAGTAGAGGCTAGATTCGGTTACATAAGTAGATATCAGGGTCACTGTAAGATAGAGCCAGACCTGATTTCTGCCTTAGTAGAGCGGTGGAGGCCGGAGACCCACACATTCCATCTTCCGTGCGGAGAGTGCACGATCACGCTTGAGGATGTTTCTATGCACCTAGGGCTTCCGGTGGATGGAGATGTGATATCGGGGATAGCTTCCGGTTCTTGGACTGGTTTGTGTCGGGATAGTCTAGGACGTGTCCCGGAAAATTTTATCGAATGTAGGATACCGTTAAATTGGTTAGATGCCAATTTTCGGGAGTTGAGCGCAGACGCCTCTAAGGAAGAGGTTAAGATGTATGCATGGGCATGCATACTGCAGCTGATAAGAGGGTTGCTGATGCCGGACAAATCGCGCAACCTAGTTCACTGCATGTGGTTGCGACATCTTAGCGACTTTCTTCTCGTCGGATCATTCAGTTGGGGCTCAGCAGTTTTGGCTTTGCTGTATAGGGAGATGTGTGGAGCCACTGACTACAGGCGTAATGCTATCGGCAGATGTCTCCTGCTGTTGCAGTCTTGGGCATGGTATCGATTGCCCTTTTTATGTCCCGTTGTGAAGAACCCATTCATATTTCCACTACTTATGAGGTAATTATAAAACTGATTTTGTATATTAATAATTTTATACAGCGTATAACAAATTTTTTCCTTGAATAGGTAGTCTACTGATAGGAAAAATCATCAGGAGTACCTGATGATTTAGAAAAGATTAGGGTGCTAATCGATCAGTAGGCTGGCACACAGATATGAATTTTAATGTTTAAAAATTAATTTTAGATTATAGTTATATAATTAGATTATTATTTTGATAAAAATTATATATTATTTGTTTTAGTTTGAATGGGTGCCATATTCTACTGATGATGTGAGGGCGGTGATCCCACCTGAGTTGAGGGGTCCATTAGATGTTTGGATGGCGATGGTCCCTCTGATCTGTTATGTGACCGTCGAGTGGCACTCCACTGATCGCGTGCTCCGGAAGTTTGGTTGTTTTCAACCAATTCTGGAAGCACCTCGCAATATGGATGAGTTGCATAGCTTAGATAGACGCGGCAAGACAGATATAGATTGGCTGGTGAGGCATCATGAGTGGGTCGTGTTGTGGGAGGATCGACATCGGCGCCTTCCACGTAGAGAGCCCATTTTTACTGACTTTTTGATGTATGCTGAGGATTATTATGAGTGGTTCAACAGTAACGGGAAACCGTTTCTACTTCCCGAGGATGCACGAGAGCAGACCTTTCCACGACGTCGACAGAGACGTTCACCGACACAGCACCATCGTCCCCCGACTCATGGACGGAGAGCATGTGCTTCCGGTTCATCATCAGCTGCACCAGCAGGACCTTCCCAGCAGCCACCGCAGCCATATATGATGTCGCAACCATATATGATGCCGCCATTGCCTTTCCATTACCAGATGCCACCGTCGCCGCCTTCACCCGGTTTTATGACCCCGTCACCGCCACCGTCACAGATGACCCCTCCTGGAGGCTATTATGGGTCTATGTTTGTAGACCCGACTTGGGGTTCATATGTTGGATATTTGGCGGGTTCAGCCTCATCACCCATGGCTGCAGCACAGACACCGCCTCCTGTACAGTTTTCACACTCAGCGATGTCTGGGTTTTATGACTTTTCCCAGTTTTCGCAGGTCGGTGGGATAGTCAGTCATACACCTCCAGGGTCCTTATTCTACGGAGGTGCTTCATCTTCATCAGCTCCTCATGTACCTGCGCAAGACGACGACAACGACGACGATGGTGATGATGATGACAGCGAGGAGTCAGAACCAGTGATACGAAGAAATCCTCCTCGAGACCGACAGCCACCGCCCTGCGGAACACATTCGCGTCGCAGGCATCGATAGATTTTGTTTTTTATTATATTTGTATTTACTTTATTTTGTTAAATTGTAATTTTTATTATTATTTCTCATTTAATACTTACTTTATTTTGTTTTTTAATGTATTTTAGTTCGTTTTTTTTATTACCATTTAATATCAGTTATTGTAATTTGGTTATCATTTACCATTTAATACTTATTGTTATTAGTTTGTTAAAATTAATGATTGTATTTGTTTTTTTAATCTTCATCGGTGATTATCAAATGACATTAACTTGAAGTAAATGTAAATTAAAGTAGAAGAATTATTATTTGATAATAAAATACATCATTTCCTCATCAATTGTTACTTGATGACAACAGAAGTGGACATGTTTTTCTAGTGTGTCATGGGTTTCTACAATGCCCACATCTTTTGTCTTGTCTAGATCTTTCTCTAATATCCATATCGTAATGAATTCGATTGGATTTTGGACGACCACGCTCCCTCAATAAACTCGAATTTGGTACAATCGGAAGCCAATCTTGAACCTCATCAGGGTCTTTGTTATTACCTATGGGGGGAAACTCAAATTCGTATACCTTAAAAACTTCAGATAGTAGGTATACGGGATCCACAAAATGGTTATAGTCTTGACGTGTATGCGAGCAAGTTGCTATCACATGAGAGCATGGATACTTCAGAGCTTGAAAAAACCCGCAGTCGCACGTTCTGTCCCTTAGATTTACTCTTAACGACACAGGTTCAATCCCTTGAAGAGGTCGCGGTAACTCTGTGACACGAAACATTTCATGTCTTCTAGAGAAGCTTGTTACAGACATTCCATTTGATGCAGTAATTTTTTTCTGTAGATCTGCAACTAATCTAGGGTGATAGACATGACCGACTTGCATCCAGGTTTGAGCTTGTCCCCCGGGTTTTGCAAAAAGCGCCCCCAAATGAAAATATGTAGTATTTACCAAAACTGCTACAGGTAAGTGGCGTGCACCCTTTAAGGTTGAATTGATTACCTCTGCCAAGTTGGTCGTCGTGTGTCCATATCGATATCCACCATCATATGCGTTCGTCCACATTTCTTTATCGATGAGGCTGATGTAATCATATCCTTCCTCGTTCTTCGCCCGCAACTCTTGAAACATTGATTCAAACGTTCGAGGAAGTAGTTCGTAACCTGATCAAAAAATATATAACTTACTAACTTGCTGTCTTTGCAAAATTAAAACGATCGAAAGATAACAAACTTGCTAAGTTTCACTTACCCATGCGCACAATTAATTGACGCTCATCATTATTCTTGTACCTTCCATGGTAGTTCGCGGCAATGTGTCGAAGACAATACCTATGTTGGACAAAGGGTGGTTGCCACATTGGACCCAAAGACTCCATTGTTGCTTTGATCCCAGCTCCACGATCTGAAATGACACAGATGTTTTCCCTCGTGATAACATGTGCACGTAAATTTCGGAGGAAAAAAGCCCAAGAAGTTGTATCTTCTCCTTCGACAAGAGCAAAAGCAACTGGAAGAATGTTGCGATTGCCATCTTGGATAACTACCAATAATAAAACTTGCTTGTATTTTCCATACAAGAAAGTCCCGTCGATCTGGACCGCAGGCTTGCAGAATTTGATAGCATTAACACACTGTGGGTAACTCCAAAAAACCCGGTAGAATTGGCATCGATCGCGAAGAACTCGATCATTATGGTATGCATAGGAGGTTTCGAAGTCCACAATTGTCCTAGGATTCAACGTTCGCACCAGCCTAAACCA